ATTTTCATAAAAAATTGGATGTGAATACCTGAACGTATAAGAAGTCTGCATGTTGAGCTATATTTACGAATGATGTCCTTATACCGATGATAAAATTTAGTAAATGTTTTGACTAGTTTGTGATATCGAAAACCCTGGTGTAATAATTTTTCAGTAATACTTAAAATTCTCTCGTTTAAATCTAAAACATTGTTACATACACGAGCGAATCGTACAAGTTGAGATATATAAACACCGTAAGATGGTGACAAGGGAACGTCACCATCTAAAAATGGATAATTAACGATAGGAAATGAAAAATCATCTCTTTTATCATATATTTTAGTATTAAGCTTTCCGTTAATGATATAGATATCAAGATCGAGGAAAGGGCAGTGGTCATTGTTAGTATTAGCTTTATTTAAAGTAAGTTCAACAGGATAAATTTCTTTAGTATACATACTGAAGTCGTCATTATTGAGAGCCAAAATATCATCCAAATATCTAAAGAACACTACCTTGACCTATAATGGTTTACTTTTATAAATTGTAACTTGGATGGAGAGTTGTCTCATTAGCACTCATACCACATCTTCCTATATCTACTTGAACACAAGTTATTGTCTGGAAACTGTAAAAATGCTTGTTTTTTGGCCCCTTTTTGGCCCTAAATTCCTAAACGTTTAAGGCAATTACCCCCAAACTCAAACCCAGCTTCCCCTTTGTGATATGGAACCTTGTAGTACAATTTCATAAAGATCCATACACTTACACACAAATTATTGTCCTGAAACTAGAAAAATGCTTGTTTTTGTCCCTTTTTGGCCCCTAATTCCTAAAATTTTGAGGCAATTTCCCCAAAAATCGATCCCAGTCTTCCCTTTGTGGTATGGTACCTTGCAGTACAATTTCAGAGAGATCCATACACTTGAACACAAGTTATTGTCTGGAAACTAGAAAAATGCTTTTTTTTTGCCCCTTTTGGCCCCTTATTCCTAAACATTTAGGGCAATTACCCCCAAACTCAAACCCAGCTTTCCCTTTGTGATAGTGAACCTTGTAGTACAATTTCATAAAGATCCATACACTTACATTGTTGTACACACAAGTTATTGTCCTGAAACTAGAAAAATGCTTGTTTTTTGCCCCTTTTTCCTAAAAGTTTGAGACAATTTCCCCCAAAATCAATCCCAGCCTTCCCTTTGTGGTATGGTACCTTGCAGTACAATTTCAGAGATATCCATACACTTGAACACAAGTTATTGTCTGGAAACTAGAAAAATGCTTATTTTTGGCCCCTTTTTGGCCCCTTATTCCTAAACGTTTAGGGCAATTACCCCCAAACTCAATTCCAGCTTTCCTTTTGTGTTTGGAACCTTGTAGTACAATTTCAGAAAGATCCATACACTTACATACAAGTTATTGTCATGAAACTAGAAAAATGCTTGTTTTTTGCCCCTTTTTTTGGCCCCTAATTCCTAAAATTTTGAGGCAATTACCCCCAAAATCAATCCCACCATTTCCTTTGTGATATAGAAACTTGTGGTGCAATGTCAGAGAGATCCATACACTAACACACAAGTTATAATTGTCTGGAAGTTACAAAAATGCTTATTTTTGGCCCCTTTTTGGCCACTTAACTGTTGATACCATAACCCCCAAAATCAATCCCAACCTTTCTTTTATGGTATTGAACCTTATGGTAAAATTTCATAGAGATCCATTCACTTAAACTAAAGTTATTGTGCGAAAACCAATGTGTCTTCGGACGACGACGCCAACGTCATACCAATATACGATTCGCGGTCGTATAAAAATGGGTCTTATAAAAACTAGGTAGAGTTTTTCTAAATTATTTCGAGACAGTCGATATCTAAGTTTAAACTTAGATAAGTTTATAAGAACATTAAGGTGTTTCTTTACACTTGTAATTATAATTGCAATATAATTGTTCGATTGTTTCATTTTGATTCACTACTAAAGGTAACCCCAGGTGCTTATGTGATGTACTTATAGGGATATTTTTATCATTTAAGGAAAAGTTGAGATCTGGTATCTAAATATTTGAAAATATCATAATTTCTGTTTTATCAGGATCAAATGACAATAGCCATTTAGTTGACCAATCACCCAGCTCTTTCAGGTGGCGGTCGATCACTATTTAATGTTTTTCATCGTTACCAGAATAACTGAATGAAGTGTCATCTGCAAATAGCCTACACAATGATGTAAGCTTATCAGCAATATCATTAATATTTAAAACAAAGAGAAGAGGGCCCAAAACAGATCCCTGGGGTACACCTGCTGACACATTACAAAAGGAAGAGGACGAATTATGCAGTACTACTCTTTGTTTTCTATCATGCAGATAATGTCCAAACCACTGTAATAAGGTTCCATCAATACCATAGGCTTTCAGTTTGTAAATAAGACCTCTATGCCAAACTTTGTCAAACGCTTTAGAGAGTCACAGAATACAAACAATTTTTTTTCCAAAGAGTTTAAGATGCAGTTGTATATTTCTTAAAGTTGATGAACAGTTGCATTTTTAGGAAGAAATCCGGATTGATATTCATAAATTAAATTGTTAGCGTGTAGATGGTTGTACAAGTGCTTAAAACAACTCTTTCCAATATTTTTCCAACACAACTGACAAGAGAAATTTTATTCAATACCTGTCATATATCCAAATTTAACAAGCATAATTCCTCTTGAAACACCTTTGTCTTGATTTCATTGAAACTTCGTTTCACTAACAGATATGCTTGACAAAATTTTTTATGTTTCATATAAAAGGAAGTTGCAGTGGTTGCAATTCTTTCTAAACCATAAGGATTCAAACGAATATTTGCAGAGAGAGGTAAACGCCGGCTAAAGGAAAATTATTCGGTACGGGCACCAATAGAGCAAACTGTATGCATTAGAGCATTTGTTGTTTTCTTTGTATTTCTATTAAGTAACTGAGTAATAACATTTACATGAATCGTACACCTTTTAAATCGCACCATATAAAAAAACATATTTATCTTGTAGAGCACTCGCCAGTAAAATTTATTTTCCAGAAGAAAAAAAATAACAACAAAAAACGTCCCTTGCCCGACCCATATTTTTTGGAGCAGATTTCAGAAGAACTATTAAATTATAAGGCCTTACTCTGCAATTTTACTGCTTTGATTCTCTTCTACATAGGTACTTCATGCACGAAAAATATCATTTTGCACTAATGACATCAATTGGACCCAAAATATCATTTCTTGTCACAGATATATAAATATGATTTATAAAGGACATAATATTATAATGACTTATTACAGATAATTATGCTTGCTTTTATACTTATCTGCAATACATATATGAAATACCATTAATGCCAAGTTATATGTTTGGTGAAATTGCAGAACTGATATTTTGAAAAAAAGATTTTACATGTATCCTTATACATGTGTTTTTCTTCGATCTAGAACTAGAAACTTGTATCTGCCTTATATAAGATCTAAAGATCGCACTTCTTGATATTGTTGCAATATTAAGGAACTCTTTTGACGTTTTAGTAAAGTCATATTGACATTAACTGCTGGTGTAACACAGCTGTTTTTGAAATCCGTCTTGTATTAACTGTATTAAGAATAGTTTTAAGAATCTCGGATAAGAGATTAGTTAAATATATTGAAGACCTCTTTATGTAATATTCTTAACTTTTGTATAATTTGCGATTGGTTATCAGACATAAAGAATAAAAATCCATCGGTTGGGGTCCGCCCATTTTATAGAACTGCCATCAACTTAATTCATTTATAGTCAGAAGAAAGCCAAATCAGGATGTCCCAGTATTTTTTATATTTTTTTGTCTAAACATTAAGGTTGAAAACTTTCGATCTTTCCCAGGAGTTGTATTCATTATAATGCCTTTACAAAATCATAAACACTATTTTTAAAAATGTTCACTTAATTGATAATCTGCATCCGTCACTTTGTGATTTTCAATATAAAAAAAAAGATGTGGTATGATTGCCAATGAGACAACTCTCCACAAGAGACCAAATGACACAGAAATTAACATCTATAGGTCACCGTACGGCCTTCAACAATGAGCAAAGCCCATACCGAACAGTCAGCTATAAAAGGCCCCGAAATGACAATGTAAAACAATTCAAAAGAGAAACCCAACGGCCTAATTTATGTACAAAAAATGAACAAAAAAAATAAATATGTAACACATAAACAAACGACAACCACTGAATTACAGGCTTCTGACTTGGGACAGGCACAACCATACAGATTTGGCGGGGTTAAACATTTTAGCGGGATCCCAACCCTCCCCCTAGCCTGGGACAGTGGCGTAACAGTACAACATAAGAACGAACTATAAAAATCAGTTGAAAATGTTTATTTTTCAGAGAGCACACGTATTTGTGACGTGTTTTGCATTCGATATTTAAGGATTATATAAACGGAAATGCATATTCGGCTTTTACGCCCTATATCAACTGCCAAATAATAAACTGTAAAGATGGTTAAAATTTGGGACAACAGTAGTTTACTGTTGAAATTGATCAACCAATTCGTGATGGTGACCATAAAATGTAATACTATGTAGTAACGATTTCTGTAGAACGTGCTTCCTCATAAGTCTGTTAAATAAATCATCAAGTTACAGCTCTAATTTATTCTAAGGAAGGTTTTTCATATACATGTGACTGCAATACATATTACTTAGAACTTGATAGAATGCGATGGGGGTTTGTTTGTGTATAGGTTTCGTGGATAATAACTTAAATATGTTATCCGTGGTCTTGTTCTGCACAGGGAAAGGGACTAATTCATATTCCCGATAACTGATGATGAGAAAATATGAACAATAAAAGTAGACCTTTAATTAAAAACACGTGCCAACATGTACTGCCTTAAAAAATCTGTTTCTACGTTTTCTTATATATCATGTATATTTTTGTGTTATATAAATTTGTATGGTAGACTAGAGTCTTGACTCAATACTTTCATCTTCATCTATTTTTACTTACATTTTTTTGTTCTGTTCCTGATAAGCTTTCATTTCCTCTCCACTATCATAATTAACCTTCATTGTCCATTCTGCTATAGATTTACATTTATCATCCAGGTCTTGTTTAGCTTTTATCCTATAAAACAATTTAAAAGATGATTGATTGTTGTTTGCTTTATGTCCAGTGGAAAATAGTTCACGTATGTTCAGGACGAGAACACATATTAACAATTAATTCAATAGTTAGGTCATGTTAAAGGGAACGACAGGGATGAAGGGCGAGAAATTTGGACTGCCACTGGAAAATAAGAATATAGTGGATAAAGACAGAAATTAAGCCTTGCCACAGGCCATCTACGGTCCCCTAAAAGAGTTGTTGAAATGGTTCGTTAAAGTAGAGAGCGAGGCACTCTCTATACACGAGCGTTTTAAAAGACACGTGAGTTGTAAAATTAGTGCATGTTTTTGCTTTTAATTGAGCATGACTTCATATGCTAGTTAATCCAAGAATATTTTTAATCATCTTTCGAAGGATGTTTTTATCATTCATGTTTCAAAAAGTCTGAAATAGAAATTCAAGCGCAGATTATTTAAACCATTAACATCTCAAATGAGTAAATTTTTTACATACTCATGTAAATATAAATAACCAAGAAAGGAGGACATATGATAAGAGCCATTATTTGGCCCCTGAAATTTCAAATATAGTTAAATTTTTTAAGATTTTTAAAATGATGTTAATTTATTGGTAATTGACCCAGTAAATATACTTTGGACACTTTTGTACAGAAAGGTCAATATGACGTCATAAACATGCTGAAATTGACATATTTGACCACAAATGTCCATTTTTCACATTGTGTTTGGATGAAATAATATTGCTATTCATGATTTCATTTAAAAAAATAAAAACCTGACCTACCTGAGATATTTAGACATACCGGATTATTGACGTCGAACAAATTTCTTCGCGCTTTATTTGAATCCCATGCATGATTTTTCCTTCGAAAGTTTTACGGGCATGAGTCGGTTGAAAATTATGGAATATCTGTGTCACAGATGACCACAAAGATGTTACAATTGCCTTAGCCCTTCTGTATCCTCTTTTTTCGATTTGAACATCACCGAACTATATTTCACTTTAAATGTGTACTTACTTTGGGTAAATCGACGGATGCCACATGTGGAGTAGGATCTGCTTACCTTTATGGAGCATCTGAGTTCATCATTGGTTTTTGGTGCGGTTCGTGCTGCTCATGCTTTAGTTCTTTATGTAGTGTAAAGTTTGTGTTTTGCATCGTTTTGTTTTAGTTTTTTTGCCATGCTTTAGTCTGTCATGAGTTTTGATTATCGCTTTAATATCTTCCGCCTCTTTTTTAAAGAAAATAAGGGTCAAAACTCTTGTTCGGCAATGTAAAGTCGTCAATAGTAACAACATAATAAACTTTATAAAACGCTGGTTAAAAGCTTCTCAACCTATTGTTCAGAAACGCAATAAGGGTGCAAATTAAACAAATCAATTGACAAAACTCCTATTCTGTAACCTCATTCGTCATTTTATGCAGTTTGTTAAATTATATTTTTAATCTGTTTATGCGTTCCTGACCTAGGAGGATTATTCATTGTTAAACCGTATAGAATGTCAAAACATCGTATCATCGTTACCTTTCCCTTTCTTACACGTACCTCGAACTGAATACTGCAAGGTCATCTCAGTACCGGAGAACATTCTGAGGACAAACGTCATCTAGGACACAATTCGTGGCTAACCACAGAGTTAGTTACATTTATAACTTTGTATTTGATGCCTTCAAATCGTTCTTCACATAATTGAACTCCTTTATCCGTGATATACTGGAAACTTCACCTTTAATAACTGCAGCTTTATTTCGCATTCTATGGACTTTGCTATTGTCTACACTTGACATTCATACATTATAACATTAAGTTATAATTGAACACATTGTAAAATTGTATTTTATTTTGTATTTTCAGCTTTTTACCATTTGTTTAGATTGGTTTGGGAATAAATTATCAACACCTGATAGTCTTATTGTTTGAGCCCAATCGTTGGTTATGCTTAATGGTCAGGCCATTACAGTAAAAAGTCTACAACTTGCCTGTTGTGTCACACAGATTACGCCACTCCACGTCAGTTCTACGGCTACAACCAACGCGTCATCCCTTTACGTACAGTTAATTGACGACAACCTGTCTTTACATATCCAGACAAGGAACGACAACGTAGCAACGTAGGGGCTCCCACAGGGTACCCCCCTCAGGTCGCAAGGTCGCGAGGTCGTTTTTAAGGGAAATGTACAGGTCGCAGGTCGTTTTTTCCAACATAGAGGTCGGAAGTCGTTTTATTATTTAAAGGATCCATTTAAGTCATTGTTGTGTCGATTTTTGTGTTATTAAACCAGGGACATATATGTTCCTGATTAAACCTTTTAGTTTTAAATTAGATATTTGGACATTTTGCTGGGCCCTTGGGTTCGGTTGTTCTTGTTTTGTTTGAGGCCATCCAGAGATGGCTGTCTGTAAGTGGGAAGTTCCTGCTCTATTGAAGTTCCGGTGTCGTCAGCTCTAGATTTATTTTTGTGTGGCATTTAATGATCAATATGTGATGTCTTCGTGCCATTAACCCATATCCGTTCTTTTCCATATTGAGATCAAAACAGGACTTGAACTTTTCGATTTTTCAGAACTGTAGTTTCAACCAAACATTCAGTATTTCACTAATCCAACACAATATTCATATTGAGCAAGTCCCCAGAACTCTTATAAAATCACCGGGGATGTAGAGCTGGATTTACTTACTGAGATACTTTGAACACGATCAATAGACTGATGGTAACAAGGAAATGTCTTGAGGACAGGGGTGTCCCGCTCGGCGCTTATTTCCATTTTCGATGGAACCCCCCCATTTTTTACAAAATTGTTAGTCCATATCATGATAAATAAAGAGTATGGTACAAAATTTCATGAAGATTCGACTAGAAACTTTTTAGGAAATCATCTTAAACGCAAAGGTAAACCAAAGTGTAACTGACGAAAGAACGGATGGACGAACAGACCGAAAAACTATATTTACCGCAACAATGTTGTCGAGACATAAAACATGAAACTGATCATCAACCTTACTTGGATGCATTTCCTTCTGTCTGAGGAACAACAAAATTCCACATCTCTATTTGTTCACTGCCAGCCTCCGGTTCTTCGTAGCAATTAATTGGTTATGTACCGGCATTATTATATACATAGTTGACTGTTGTCTTACGGTTTTTTGACTGACGGATTGACAATAGTCTATCCTAAACGACATCAAATCACAAAGAAAAATATCGCGCCAAAAATGGCAAGGTCGTTTTTAGCGTGGGTGAAGTCGGAGGTTGTTTTTTTCCAAATTTTACAGGTCGTAGGTCGTTTTTAGAAGGCCCTCAGGTCGGAAGTCGCCTCTAAAAAGCCCGGAGGTCGCAGGTCGTTTTTGACCCTGCGGGAGCCTCAACGTACGTACTGTTACACCGACAGTGCACAACACAACTTGTGTGTACTAGGTAGCAAACCAACAACGTTGAGCCATCATGGATCCCAGTCACGCGGAACAGCATGACGAGGTTCAACCCCGAGAGGAAGATGTTTCTGAAGAACTAATAGAAAATCCGTCTAATACCACACATTTAGATGAAAATCCCGAGACTAGGCGAGTACGTGATCTCACAGAAAAAGGACACGAAGCATTCGCAGAGAAACGTGACAAGTTCTGTCAGGAGCTAGAGGCCCTTTGGTCAGGTTTAGAATTCCAATTATTGGAAATGACCACTCCTCCAAACGAGCTCCAACAACTGCTTACAGCAGAGGACAAAATCGTACAAGCCTGTGCTCATTATCGCAAGCGCATAGATGAGTGCCTGAACTTTTTGAAGAAGACCAGAACGCCGGAAAGTCTTAAGAACATAGACACATGTAATCAGTCATCAGAAATTCGACTGTCTAAAGTGGACCTGGCTATGGAAACCCTGCACGAGCATCGTCTCGCTCTGACAAAGGCTAAATCCACCAAAACAAAAACATCTAAGGGTAAGAAAACCTCGCATAGCGGAAGCTCCAACGTCTCCTATATGTCAAGCCTGGCACGGAGGAAGCGTGCAAAAGCAGAGGCTGCTAAGTCAAAAATAGCCTTTGCCGAAAAACATGCGTTGATAATTAAACAGGAGGCATTATTAGAGGAACAGGCATTGTCAAGACAAACTGAAATTAAAGCCGAAATGGACCAACAAGCCATTCAAGAAAAACAAGAAGCCTTACATTAAAAAGTTCAAATGGAACAAGAGGCAGCACAAAGGAAAGCTAAACTAGTACAAGAGGCCGTACGCAGAAAAGCTCAACTAGAACAAGAGGCTGCGCGTGTAAGCCGGGAAAACGCTGAACTAAAGGCCAATTTGAACCTTCTCGAAGCACAGAGAGAAGCTGCAGCCGCGGAAGCAGAGGCTCGTATTCTGGAATACGATGAAAGCCAAGCGTTTAGCGATCTTCCTGACGAGACAGAAGACCCGCACCAACGTGTGCAAGATTTCGTAAATAAGTACCCTGTAACAACTGCCGTACATGAAGTGACAGGACCTCAAAAGATAAAACAAAATCCCGTTAAGATTGAGCTAAGTCATGAAGCACCAGCGTTCATGCCATCAAAAACACCTGCGGTCTTGCCTACACATGCTAAGTCGCCTGAAGTTACTAGTAATGTATTCCCAGATCTGGGAACAATGACTGGCACAGGAAAACAGCGCGTTTCAGCGGTATGGCGCTCCAGAAATGTTAGAGGCCTCTCTCACGAGTAAACTTGCCAAATTCCCAACCTTGACGAATAAGGACAACGCACGTCTCTATGAACTGTCTGATATTCTATCAGAAATAGAATATCACAAGGAAAATCCCAAGCTGGGATGTCTGCTAGCTTATTTTGACTCACCGTCCGGAATAAACCCTATTATTGAAAAACTACCCTATGGACTTCAGAAAAAGTGGATTACAAGGGCGTCTAGATACAAATCTAACCACGACGTTGCCTTTCCGCCTTTTACAGAGTTATCTGCATTCATCAGTGAAATTAGCAAAATTAAAAACGATCCTGGG